GAGCTCCTAAAATCTTGCTCCCAATGACCTACAATTCCACAATTTTCACAAAAAGCTTCATGGTTAGCAACAGCAGAAACATTAGCTACAGAGTTAGGAGCAGCAGTAAGATTATCTAATTTTTTACAAATAGATGTTAATTGAGCTTGCAAAAAGGATACAGAATCGACACTATGTTTTCCTTTATTTGCAAACCCTCTCGAATTCCCATATTGGGAATTGTGTATTGCCATGTCTTCGATAACCTGTCCTGCATCATCCACATTTAAATTCATAAACCTCCCACTAGCTGCAGAATTTAGCACTGATCTAGAAGAATTTCCAAGTCCATTATAGAATGCTTGGATTAATTGCCATTGTGCCAGATTGTGGTGGGGGCACTCACTCTGTAGATCCTTGAACCTCTACCAAGCCTCATATAACGTTTCGTCGGCCTCTTGAGCGAAGTTCTGAATAGCACTCCTTAGCACCGTTGTTCTCTCTGCAGGATAATATTTATTATAGAAATTCAAAGCAAGAGTTTCCCAGTCAGTAATACCAAGTGCAATTCTATTCAAACCATTAAACCATAATTTAGCTTTGCCACATAATGAAAAAGGAAAAAGAATCTCCCTGATTTGGTCTTGCGTGACCCCGACTTGTCTAATGGTGTTACAATATTGGCAAAAATCTGCGATGTGAAGATTAGGATCTTCACCCTTAGCTCCGCTGAACTGCTTCCTCTCTGTCATAGTGATAAATTGGGGCTTGATCTCAAATTGAACTCCATCTAGAGCCGGAGTGGGAGTAAGGTGCGGGAAGTCTGTGAGCTTCGGTAGCGAGTAGTCACTGAGTTTCTTCTGGGCCGTCATTACCTGTGTCACTAGAATCAGGGGGAGGATCTCTTCGATCGTTGTCCTCCTCAGAACCCGCCAGAATTTGTATATAAAGTTTCCTTTGCCTATGAAAAGAACGCTCGATCTTAGGGTCGAAAGGGATGTAACCTGATCTGGAACACTTGGGCATAAACAAAGAACTAAAGACAAATATGAGAATTGCCTCAAAAACCTAACGTTCTCTGAGGCAAAAAGGGGATAATCTAGACTACAAAAATATAATCAGAAAATAAAAATAAAACCGTTTCCCCGGCAACAGCGCCAAAATTTTGACAGAGTAAAGTCGTATCCCCTAATCAAAAATAATTACCTAAGTCCTCTAACTAAAGTAGATAGGGAAGTAGGGTCGAACTCCACAGGGAAACAGGTCTTTTTACTCCTAATTAATTATTATAATCTAAATTATCTAAGTAACCAATATTTTTATGAATAAAATCTAAACTACGAAGAATAAAGTTGAAAGGAATAAAATAGGGAGAAAATAAAATATTAAAAGGCCTAGGGCATAGGTTCACTAATAAACAATATTCCTGGGCAATTCATAATAAGAAATCATCAAGCATTGGTTAATCAGATTATAAAGGGCTTTCGCTACATATTATAATCACAGAGTTAATTTACCGGTATTAAATCTCATCCGTCGAATCTCGACTTAACCATTTATAAATTAATCCGCCTATTGAAACTAAGCCTAAATATCAATTCTCATCTATCGAATCTCGAATTAATATTGCTAAATTCATACAATTAAATCTGGCCAAACCTAATTGCATAGCTGTAGGGAATAGTTTCAAGCCTTAAAATCCCACTAGCTCGAACCCCACTGTGATCATACACTAAAGTACGGTGGCGTCCAAAAGGGAAGAAGATAGAGCAAAAGAGTCGCCAACAAGTTTTTAAGGAACTTGTAAACCGTTCACGAGGTGAAGCTTACACCCCTTAACGATCCAAGAGATCGTCAACTCCATAAGGTCATGAACCAAATAAGGGTTCGGGGATGAAGGTACAAATCCAACCTAAAAGAGATTGAACCTGCCCTAATAATAGGCCTCTACTTTATTCTGCTCGTATTCATGTGCGCTTTCTGATTAACATGCAATCAATAGGATTAACCCTAAACCTGTTTAATCTACGTTGGTTGAATATTAATGCACAAATAAACTATTATTGGCGATCACTTGAATTTATAACCACAATTAACCTAACAAGATTATTAATTATCTTATTAAGCGTGGTTACAAGTACCAATTCCCTTTTAAACATGCATAAAAGGTGTGATCAAGTAATAAAGAATAAATAATGTATCAAGCAACATAATCAATAATAATCATGAAGAATAATAATCATAATCATCATAAATAGAATAATCATCATCAAAATAATAATAAATTATAATAATTATAATCATAATCATGTTCATGTTAATATTAAAGCATAATAATAATAGCAAGATCCTAGGCATGATACTAACAAGATTAATAACAAACCCTACCATGTCACTAAGCAATAAAAATCAAATCTTTAACCCTAACATGATACTAACCATCATAAATATTAGGAAGAACATAGGAAGCATCATAGAAATCATATTTAATATTAAAATTACCCTAGACATGATACTAGGAATTAAAATAACAATATAAACATGATATCTACATCATAAAATCAATTAATCAATTAAAGTACTTACTTTGATGCCTCGTACCTCTTTCTAATAACAAAATACACACGTTAGTAACTTCAAGGAAAATAATAATCAAAACAATTAAATTAAATAATCGAAAGAGAGATTTGGGACCAAACCCTCAGAAATTAAAACCTTTCACGTCTAGGACGAAGGCAACTTCGAATATGGCTAGGTGTTTCAAGATCTTGCGAATGCGGAATTTTGTATTAAAAAGAAAAGTTTAGAAAAGAAAAGAATGCCAATGAATTAATATTATTGAAAATTGATGAAAGAAAGATTGAATGATTATTGAAGAGAATGAATTAAAAGAATTGATGAATGATTGATGCTTGTTGATGAATGATGAAGATAGTTGGTGTATGAAAACGGAGTTTTTAATACGATATTTATAGAGAAAATCATCCAAAAAAGATAATTTAACAAAACAGAGTCTGAAGATCGAAAATCAACATTGGCGCCAGCCCTGGCTAGTTGGCGCTAGCACCAGTGGCTAGTGCCTGTCGCCAATCCTGGTTCCAGGCGCCAAGGCCTGGGGTTGGACGCCAAAGTGGTTTTCTACGCGTTTTCGAAAATCTGATAAATTTCTTGTACTGGAAGATAAAATAATATAATTTCAATCGAAAATGCTATTTGATCTTGATTAAAACTCTGAAGAGTCCTAATTGAATTAGGGATGAAAAGAACCTTCTAGAATGTTCTAGAAGACTAAAACCATTCCTAATTTCATTAGGAATGATAAACTATATTAGGCCCTCCCCTCGATCATTAGGTCGTACTTAAAGCTCAAACCGGGCCCAGTTTAGTAAATTAGCCATAACTTCCTCAATATTCATCGGAATTGAGCTTATAATATATCTTTGGAAAGGTCTTTGCAAGCCCCATCCAACTACACCACTATTGGACCTATATCATGGACCAAACAAACTGGATTGGCTGTTTTCTTAAAATAAAGTTTTCAAAAACAGGGAGAAGAGAAAAATAAATAAAACTTTCCGCAACGCTAGACCTTTCCACACTTCGTTTCATTCGATTATGATTCGACGTGAAAGACACTCATCACCGGGTTTGGTTTTGGGGAGACACAAATGGGTGTCTATAGAAGCCCCACTTTGACTGAGTTTGGAGAAACGCAAGTTTCGAAAACGAAAGCCAAAGTATCGATAGGGACGGAGAATGATTCAGAACGTTCTTTAATCCTAAATCAATCTTGTAACGCCGATACCTGCAAAACTAGCATTAGTTAAACAGATAAAACAGTTAAGAAACGCGTATCTTGCACCGTCGAGCACACGTCTCTGAAAGTAACCGATTGCTGCCGCTTGTTTTGATGACCTCCTGCAAGCCAGAGAATGTCATCCCGCTTGAAAACCGCTACGCCTGTAACTGCTTCCAAATTAGAAGATTGCTTCGCCCGAAACTATCCTCCTCCGCAATGATAATATTCTATGTCCAAGGGAATACTATCGAAGATTGCTTCTCTTGAAACAATCCTCAGTTGTTTGTGACAACTCTCCATAATCCAGGGAACGCCACCTTGCTGTTTCGATCCTGGGCTCCAAAAGTGGGCTCTACTAATTAGAAGATTTCCACTTGAAACTATATTAGGCTCTCACCGATCCTGGGCTCCAAAAGTGGTCGTGTCCTTCTAGCTTCCGTAGTTGATCCATAAAGCCAGGGAAAATGCTCCAAGAGTGCAATTTCCTGTAAAATACAACTAAAACTACGAAAACACTAGAACACACAAATTAGTAATAAAAGTGGCCCAAAAAAGCCAAGAACACTACTAATAACGACCAAGGGACGAGGGTAAAACACTATATAAAATGGACATATCACGAACCATGTTTAAATAATTGTGAAATATATTTCGGTGAAGCATGTTTTAATCGTTTAATCTCAAATGTTAAATGGTTGATTATAAACTTTTACTGATATTCAAGATATTTTTAAAAAAAAGGGAGTTTTATTATTTATATTATCCCGATTATGGGATATTGGAAAGTTTATTTAACAGGATTTATTCCTTGGATCTTTGGATTTTCAACTCCCATTATGCGGAGTAAGTTGAAGACTATGGACTTTGTATGACCTAGTATTTCTCCTTGATGGCACTATGTAAAGGAGTTACTAGCTTGGGGGGTGTGCACACTTAGATGGGAAAATGATTTTTGAAAATATGGATTGATCCATCCTATTCGGAATTATATTTGGAAAGTTGGTTATTTCGGAAATTGGTTCTTCTGACAAGTTTTTATACATGAATTTCTATTCAGAAATGGTTTGGATAAATTATGATTTATTAAAGTTAAATCTCTTCTAAATCATGTTTAATTAATTAAATTGATTTTACATGTCTAGCATTTGTATGTACTTAGCATTTTAGCTAATACATATTTGTTTTGTTTTGGCTTGGCCCTACTTATCATTTTGATAAGTAGATAGGTGATGGCGATCGGACAACGTGAACTATATGCTGCATTGGGAATGATGGGCGGTGATCACCTAGTTTAATTTAGTATACATAGTATTAGTGGTGTAGCTATTTTGAAAGTGTATCAAACTATTATTATTACTATTATTATTAATGAAAGTTAAGTACTATTTTCCGCTACAAAACTCTGTTAAGCCTTACGTAATCACGTGGCGGTAATACTCCCATGTTACTCCCTAAAGTTGGATTATTATTGTAAATATTAGAGAGTAATTTGGGGGTGTTACAAAGAGAGACCCCAAAACTGTTTCCACCATATATTAGGAGCTGGTACGCTGGCCACATAAGCCATTAAACTACGAATTAGCAATGCATATGTCGTCTTAGTGGAAAAACGTCCATCTCTAGTAAACTTCCAGTAGACGAAATCATCCATGATGCTGTGGGGCCTTTACAACGAAAGGATTTGCTGTACTGAAAAGGAGTCAAACAAAAGATGAATCAAGGAAGTATCCCACGCATTTGTACGCGGATTTAATAATAAAAGAAAATGAGTCGTGACAGGGTAAAGTCGTATCCTCTAATCAAAAGTGATTCTTAAATCCTCTAACTAATGTAGATAGGGAAGTAGGGTCGAATCCACAGGGAAACTGGTCTTTCTATTCCTAATTTGTAATACTCCATATTTTAAACCTGTTTAATTATATTAATCAAATTTATTAATTTAATAATGTTCGATTTCCTTCCAAAGTATTTTAAAAATATAAATATGTATTTAGATAATACAATAGCATTATTTAACTTATCAATATATAATTTTACGGAAATAATAATTACATTTATAAAATATTTTATACGTATGAGTTAAGCCGAAAATGTAATACTCGAAAATCATATTTTTACTTTGAATATTTCTTTGCTCCAAGTCAAAGGACCCAAGTCCATTTCTTACTCCTAAAGCATGACCAAAGTCACAAACTTCTCTTACAAACTTGAATACTTGGCCTCCAAGTTGTTGACATCATACATGATGTCAATAACATGACCTCATAAACTTCCTTGACCCCCCAAGTTGTTGACATCATACATGATTTCAATAGGGATCTCAAACTCTATAAATAGGATCCAAAGTTCAGCCATTTTAAGCCAAAAGTCTCTTGCCCTTAAAGCTCCATCCTTCTTTCTTCTCTCTTCCTCCCATTTTCGTACTTCTTCATCCCGTATATGTTCCAGGGAATTTTTCAGCCACTTCTGTTCATTTTTAGCATTTTGATATTTTATAAAAGTTGTTCTTCTCGAAAAATCCTTGAGGTTTGGCTCAAGAATCACCCAATTTGGAGTTATATACTATGAGATATGGCCTCTGCAAGATCTGACTCCTCCTTTTCAACGTGAACCTTTCTACTTTAGATTGTTTTGCGGTTAGTATTCTAAAACTAATATTTATTTTCAATTTATTATTATAAGGTTTTATATTTGATTTTATTACTCCATATAATGTTTATTTAGGAGATAATTCATGGTGGTAAATCTAGGTGAATAGTTGTGAACAGTCAATATAATTGTTCATGCACAACTAGTCTAGGGTCGTGATTTAATGGTTTAATGTTCATGGGTTGAAGAGTTTTTTATTTAGGATTATTGGTTCCTTGTAGGGGGGATTGCAAGTTCGAGATTAAGAAATTTGTGTTTGTTGCAAAAGATCAAGGTACGTACTCGTGGCTAGATCTTTAAATATGCGATTTTATACAAATGTGTTAAGTGTTTTGAATGATGAACTATGTTTGAATGTTGAACAAGGATTTTATGAATGTTTGTGAAATAAATATTGTGAAATGTTTTATTGTTTGGTATTTGAAAATAATTTCAATGTTCTATAAAGTTGTTTATACACATACTTGAATTCAAGTTCATTTTAAAGAACAAATGTTATTGAAATCCCATACATGGGAATTGGAAGGTTGATTTATCAAAGATATATATTGGATTTTTATGACTCCCACTATGCGGAGATAAAATTGAAGATTATAGACTATGTATGACCTAGTCTTTTCCCTTGATAGCACTATGTAAGGAGTTACTAGCTTGGGGGGTGTGCACACTTAGGTGGAAAATTGATTTGTGAAATGAGGATTGGATCTATCCATGCTTTGTCTTAGACTATTTTTGGAAAATTATTGATTTCGGAAATTGATATATTTTAATATGAGAATTTATATTCACGAGTGGTTTGAATCAATTGTGATTGATTAAAGTCGAAACTTTTGAAAACATGTTTAATGAACTAAATTCATTTTACATGTTTAGCATTTGTATGTACTTAGCATTTTGGCTAATACGTATTTCTCTTTTGTTTTGGCTTGGCCCTACTTATCATTAATGATGAGTAGATAGGTGATGGCGATCAGAAGACGTGAATTAAATGCTGCATTGGGGACAATGGGCGGTGATCACCTAGTTAAATTTAGTAGACATAGTATCAGTGTAACACCCCAATAATTCTCTCTTTAAACCTGTGAGGACCCTGAACAATATTCAAGAGAATTACTGGCGTGCTACCGCCACGTGTTCAAACGTTAAGGCTTTATCAGAAAATAGCAGCGGAAAAACTAACTCAGTTATAAATAAGTTTCAAAACCAATAACCAAAATCAAATTAAGTCATACAACTTGGAACCATTAAGGCTCTTATTCAAAACCCAATAAAAGTAGTAAGTGATTAAATTCAGTGTTCAAATAAATTCAAACCCAAAAGAAATAGTGTCGAATAAAATCGAATTAAAATAAATTCAAACTTGCAAAAGAAATAAAATGCAAACAACCAACTCTCTACTCAAGATCCCATAACCCTGATGAATGCTGCATGTGTAAGAACCTGTGGTAATTCTGCTCCCCAATATTACAAGTGTAAAAATTGGATCTTTACAGGGTCATTGAAAGGCGAAGGCCATGACCAAAGAAAGACACATAAAGCACGCAATCAGCAAAGCTGAGTACATACAAGCTGCAAAATAAATTAAGGAATCCATAACATGCTACTAATAATCAATCATCATGCATCATTAAATTATAGACTCAACACACGACTCAACTATTAATATTACTAAGACTCCATTAATTAATAATAGGTAAATCATTATTTTTATTCATTGGATTACGCAATAGACAAGGTTGTCCAACCCATGCTCCATTTGGAACATCAATAAAAGAAAAACCCCATGCCTCCTTTCGGAAACATCAATAAACATCTAACGACCACGGGCGCGACTCCGTGACCGTAGTTAGTATGAGATCTCACCTAACTCCTAGTTTTGAAAAATATTTGAAATAAGAGACTCGTAGATCAGACGGCCTCGAGAAAAGTACACGGCTAATACCCCATGTACCCCAACCCCTGATTGTCATTACTCCAGAAGTGCACCAATCCAGAGTTTTATTGCTCATCCATCTTGCACTTTACGTGATTTACAGGTTTAGATTTGGTGATGACTCATATGCATAACAATACAATCAATCCAATATCAATTCAATCAAGTAAAACAACATTTCAATTTCAATTCTTGATTTATTAGTGGCAAGCAACATTTATTATTTATTCCTTTACTACCTCGGTGTATAAACACCTTGAGTGCATAAGGCACCCCAAAACCTTAACCTCGTCTTAAAAGACTTAAATTCTTCATTTACTCATCCTGCTTGCATAATCATGAATGAGTAATAAATTAATCATTACACCAATCATATACCTTTGCCTCTAAGCGCACCTTACATAATTAGAGCACAAATAATACTTCCAATATAAAATAGTGCACGTCATATGAAATTCACAATGTATAACCAAACAATTTAACTTAGTCATCCCTATACATGATACTAAGTTCTCGATCCGTCGTCCTTAAACATGCACCTAAAAGAAAGGTTTCGTAACTTGTACATACCTTGAGCAAACGAATTGGTATGCCACTTTACTAACTAGAAATCACCTTCAATAAACTCCTCTCCTAAGCCAAATAATAACATCTCAATCAATACCCAAGCAATCAAATTTACAGCAATACCAACTTACTTTAAAACCTTAAAAATCCAAGAAATTTATAACATAAATATAATCTGAAATTTATAATCTTTATACCATTAAAATATAATTTGATACTAAAAATATAATCTTTATACTAAAATAAAAACCCAAAACAATTAAATTAACATTAAGTAAAATAATGAAACAAAGGAAGATGAAAATAAGACTAACCTTTTTGTGTGGGAAATTTTTGGGGATTCATGGGGTATTTATAGGAGAGAATGTTGTAGGGTAAATAGAAAGATTGGGCCTCATAAAATTAATGGGTCGATTAAGTAAACAAATGGGTTAGACTTGTTTGATTGGACATAAATTGTAAAATAAAGGTGTATAAAATAATTTGTTCAAATAATTTTCGACCCAGATTAATAATTTGAAACTTTTGAAATTAAATTCTGGAAAATAAAAAATAAATATTATAAATAAAATAAGTTTTCAATTATAAAATATTTAAAAATACGGGGGATTGCAATCAGTGTTTTAGTTACTTCAGAAATTTCTTGAACTATTTTTATTATTATTAAATGACAAGTATTTTCTTCCGCTGCAAATCTCTGTTAAGCCTTACGTAATCACGTGGCGGTAATACTCCCATGTTACTCCCTAAAGTTGGATTATTATTATTGTAAATATTAGAGAGTAATTTGGGGGTGTTACATAATTAATTAAAGCAATCTAAATTATCAAGTAACAATTTAATAATATGGATATAAAACTAAACTACGGAGATTAAGAATAAGGAGAAAACAATGAATAAAAGACCTAGAGCATAGGTTCACCAATAAATAATATTCCAGGGTAAAACATAATAATCAATCATCAATGCATACATTAATCAAATCATAAAGGGCTTTCGCTACGTATTACAATCACACAATTAATTTACCGGTATTAAATCTCATCTCTCGAATCTAGACTTAACCATTTATAAATTAACCTACCTATTGAAAGTAGACCTAAACATCAATTCTCATCTGTCGAATCTCGAATCAATATTGTTAAACTCATGCATAAAAGATCTGCGCAAATCTAGTCACAGAGCATTAAATCAATCAATAGGAAATTAATCTAGCATTGATAATCAACAACAATAAATTACCCCTTCATATTATTTATGGATCCCCATAAACCCATAAACCCTAGAAATAGAACTACTCACACATAATAAAAACTAAACTAATCAAAGCAATAAAACAAGACATGATCAAAAGAATAAAATAAATAACTAAGATTAAGAGAAGAGAAATCGTTACCAAATAAATCTGGAATTAAGAATAAAGTTGGAACAAAGTATCAGAGAGAGAAACTAATCTAAGAGCTAAGTAGAGAGAGAAAATCTAAGAAAGAATTAAGAAAGATTAAAAAAAGATACTAAACTCGCTTAACGAAAAAGTATTTATACTAAGCAAGAATCCTAAACTAAAACAAACTTAAACATCAAATAATTAACTCCTAACAATAACACGCGCCCGATCAGGCGAGGCACCGCCCGATCGGGCGCGCCTTTTCTCCATCAGGTACATTTCTTGCGCCCGGTCGGGCGCGACTTCGGGCGCCGGCCTTGCTTCCCTCGCCCGGCCGGGCGCGCCTCTGGGCGCCAACCTCTTTGGTCGGGCAGCTCTCTTGGGCCACTATATGGACTACGATTGGGCTCCAATTCTTCGGGTCAATCTGGGTTTTCTCTTCGGGTCTTGAATACTCGGTCCAAATGCCCCGGTATCAGATGTACCAAGCCCTTAATCACCGATTCAATGGCTCTAACCGGTCCTGGGCTATAAAAAATGGTCGTGCTTCTGGAGTGCTCGTAATTGCTCCATAATATATCGGGAAAATGCTCCAAAAGTGCAAATCCCTGCAAAAGTCAACCAAATCTACGAAAACACTAGAAAACACCAATTAGTAATAAAAGTGGCTCTAAAGAGCCAAAAACACTACTAATTATGACCAAGGGACGGGGTTAAAATACTATATAAATTCGACATATCAAGTCGGCAAAGCCACTTTCCAAGCTAGACCATAAGACAAAGCTGACATACCATCCATAAGACCACGACACCCCCAAGAAGATCTAGAAATTCCTCCCATCCGAAACGAGCTAAGGATATGATACTTGGAAAGCAAAACCCTTGAGCTGGGGGTAATGGTGGATACGCCAACATTGTTTTGCCAACATGGCCGAATTTAACAATGCCACACTCCGAAGGCCCAAGCCTCCCATTCCTTTCGGAAGATGCAATAGGGAAGTAGAGCAGAAAGCCAAATCCTTAGAAGTAGATGAAGACCGCCACAAGAAACGAGAGAGCTAGCAATTTTAACTATTATATTATTCTCTGTATTCCGATTTGTGATGATTACTCAGCTTTTTGCTGACGTGTGTGTTGTTTGTTTTGTTATGCTATTTGTGTTTACGGCCATGTTTTTTTCTTATGGTGGCCCTGCGATACTCTATTTGGAATTTGTTCTTAATGGTGAGCAGTCAAGATTTTCTAAGCAGGTTTAACAAGCACTAGGTGAAAAAAGGCATTTGGCAGCGGTTCAAACCCGGTATAAGGCACCGGATTGAACCGATGCCTATGTGAGGGGTGCCAAAAACTAAAACCAAGTTTTTGGCACCGGTTCAAAACCGGTGCCATAGGGTGGAATAGGCACCGGTTAACCGGTGCCAAAAAGGCCCACTAAATTTTTTTTCAAAGTTTTTGGCACCGGTTAACCGGTGCCAAAAAACCCCCAAAAATCATTTTTTTTTGTTTTTTTTGCTTAAAAATTAAATAAACTAAATTAAATAAAAACACAAAATATAAATCAAACATCACAATCAATATAAACGATTCTGTTTAATATATAATCAATAAAATTTTACAACATAGATCAATAAAAAAAATTACTTATAAATCAAAAAAAATTACAACATATAAATAAAAAAAAAACTACAATATAAATAAAAAAAAATATTACAACATCACAATCTAAAAATCCCCATATTCTTGATTCTTGATTCTTTTTTTTTTTTGAGGAAACTTGATTCTTGATTCTTGGATTATGTATACCTGCGCCAATTAAAATATCAAAAATAAATTGATTAAAATGAACAAGCTGCGAAAAAAATAAAAAAAACCTAGAAAAAAAAATTGAATTAAAATCGATTAAATTAAAAAAAAAATCGAAAAAAACCCAAAAATCAAAAAATCAAAACAAAATCGAAAAAATAAAAACAAAATCCCAATCGAACAATTAAAAAAACCCAGAAATCATAAAAATAAAAACAAAAAAAATTGAAATCGGAAAAACCTAGAAAAAATTGAAAATCAAAATCGAAAAACAAAAATCAAAATCAAAATAAGACAACGAAAGTAAAAATCGAAACACAAAAATCAAAATCGAAAAAAAAGAAAAACAAAAATCAAAATCGAAAAACAAAAATCAAAAATCAAAAATCAAAAATCAAAATCAGACAACAAAAGTAAAAATTGAAACACAAAAATCAAAATCGATAAAAAAGAAAAACAAAAATCAAAATCGAAAAACAAAAATAAAAAATTGAAAAACCCAGAAATCGAAAAAATAAAAACAAAAACAAACAAATAAAAAAATTCCAGAAATCAATTAAAATAAATCAAAAACGAAAAAAAATTGAAATCGAAAAAACCCAGAAAAAATCGAAAATCAAAATCGAAAAACAAAATTCAAAAATCAAAATCACAAAACAAAAAACCAGAAGTTGAGGGAGGAGGAGTGGTCTCCGTGGTGTTGTTGCATGTGCTCGCGGTGGTGTTCGTGGTGGTGTTCGTGGTGGTCTCCGTGGTGGTGTTCGTGGTGGTCTCCGTGGTGAGCTTGAAGGAGAAGGAGAACGAAGAAAGGGAAGGAGGAGATGAGAAGGAGGAAGGAGGTTAAGTGGAGCGAAAGAGGAGGAGAGGAGAAGAGGAGAGAGAAATAGTAGGAAAGAAGAGGAGAGGAGAAGCGGCGAGCTAGTGAAGCAAAATAGGATTTTGGGGTATAAATATGGCCGATTTTTTTTTTTTTTAAGTTTAACCGGTTTTTTTAAAAGTAAGGAACGGTTCAATTGGCACCGGTTCAAACCGGTGCCCTTTTACTTTTAGGCACCGGTTTGGCCTGAACCGGTGCCTTTTATATTTGTGTAAAATGGCGCCCAAATTTGGGCCGGTTTAGGGCACCGGTTTGGCCTGAACCGGTGCCTTTATGGGGGTGCCTTATTGTATTTTTCTACTAGTGAAGTGATCATAGCTAAAGGATCTCAAGTGTTTCGATAGTTTGTCATATCAAGTTTGTAAAGTTGTATAAATAACTCACTTAGATCATTGAGTTGTAATTATTGGAATTTTGTAAGCCTTAGCACTTGAGAGGTTGTCGATTGTGGCGGTAATACCTCCGATTTAGGTGTATGTTTCCGCAATTTTATTCAAAGGTTCTTTATTGTCTCTTATTTCTTATTTCTTATTAGTTAGTATATCGAGGGTGTTACACTAACGATCTTTGGGCTAGTAAAATAGGTCAAATCCTAACTGGACGGATCCTATAAGGTCATATAAAGGGCCTAGTGTAGGAGTTTATAGGTACTATAATGCGAAAAAACATAAATCATATTCATAAAGCACCTAATCTCAAGATCGCATGCAGTACACACAAGACACGTACATAATCATACCTTTGAAGCGTGAATTCCACGTAGCAATTCGACACGCAAATCAGGGAGAGAATAGAGCCCCAAACATTGCTCCTTAAGTTAGTCCACGAGATTCGAACGAGCCGTGCACCAATACTAGATTGGTCGAGTGAAAGAGGAAAATTGCGATCACCACCTTTAATGGACTAACCGACCACCACGAACCACCACCATCGGCGCCAAGGAGGAGTGAGAGAGTGAGTTTGAGAGAGGTTGGACTCGTGTTTGCTAATTCGGGTTTGATCAAACTGATCACTCAATTAAGCTGTTGAAAACCCCAGGTACTTAGCCTATTTATAATCCTATTATAATTAAACTAAGTCACGAAGCCCAAAACCTAGAGGTGATCAATGGGCGGGGGGGGGCCGAGGTCAAAAAAAATTTCCCATTTCTCGGGTCGGGCCAAGCTTCGGGCCGGAAGACGTGTGCCCAAACCCACCCAAACTAGTCGGGCCATACGGGGCTTTTCGGGCCAATTTCGAGTCGGGCCAAAAAATCAACTAAAAATGCAAAAAATCCATTTCCCAAACCCGGCCAAACTTTTTTAAAAATCGGGCCGGACCGGAAAATTCTGCCCAAAACCCGCCCAAAATCGGGCCGGGCCGAGCTTAGTGTGATCAGCTCTACCAAAACCCTCCTTATTCCTCCATATGGCCGACCATACTAGGGGATGAGGCCTATCATGGGCCTCGTCCTCTCGTGTTTGATCTAGGCCCTTTGTGTGACCTTATAGGAACCGTCCAAGTGGGCTTTGGCCTATTTTACAAGCCCAAAGATCGTTAGTTACTCTAGCTATGATATAACGACTACCCAAATGAACGAACTTAATTATCTCTATAATTTGATCCAATTATATATCTAGTAATTGCACATGACGAAAACATAAATCCTTCACCTAGATCAAGCATAAGAGGACGAGGCCTATGATGGGCCTTATCACTCTAGGTGGCTGCCCATAAGGGTTGGTTTAGAGGGCTTTGGGCTTCCTAACCTAGTAGCTAGCTAGCTTCCACAACACCTCATGCCCACCAAGCACCAGACCAGCTTGGGTTGTCAGCAGAATCACCTTTGGGAGACATTTATTTTACTCTTTCACTCTTTGGAGTTTGGACTAGTAAAAAAGAGGAATTACTCCCGAGTAAAATTGAACTCTGTTCTGAAAATGAAGCAAGTTTAAACGGTGATACAGAGCTACACCTTGAAAAATGAAAATGGTGGATTTCCGATTATGCAGGCGGTTTGAGGGGGCGGTGATCCTCCTCAACATCATTTGCTGCTTCTTTTTCACCGGCGCCGCCGCCAACATCGACGCTCATTCTCCCGTAACTCAAATTGCTTTCGGATCATGCTCCAATCAAACCAATCCTCAGGTTTCTTTCTCTTTTTCTTTCCTTTTATAGATTAGTAGTACCAATTACTAGTAATAATTTAGTATGGAATGCAGATTATATGGAATGCAATCAATGATTTCAATCCCCAGTTATTCATTTGGCTTGGTGATAATATTTATGGTGATAATAAACGCCCTTTTCGATTATTTGGTAAGCAACGCACTTTTGGGCCTTGGAAAAATCTTCCCAGATTTTATCCTTCTTCTCAACTTGAAATGCAATCTAAGTTTAACTTGGCTAAGACCCATCCTGCCTACTCTCGTCTTCGTAACCGTTCTAAGGTATGTATACTCTTCCCTTTGTCCCCATTTTATTAATATGGACTACTTGCTTATACTATTTTGGGATGTTCGGAAATATAGTAATTCTGTGTATATGGTAGGTTATTGGAACATGGGATGATCATGATTATGGATTGAATGATGCTGGTAAAGAGTTCACTGGCAAGGACATCAATCAGAAGCTGCTGCTTGATTTTTTAGATGAGCCTGTGGATAGTCCCAGGTGAATTTGTGTTTACAATTACATCATACATGTGTTTAATTGTTTTTGTGGGTTTTGATTTGGTGCATAATCTTTGTCACATTGTTTGCTAAATTGACCGAATTCATCCATTTTGACTCTCTTTTACCACGATATCTGCATGTTGTCTGTGACTCTCTTTTACTACCAAAACATATCATTTGATTCCGGACCTTATATCGAGTTGTAAACTTATAATCTTATACAATTATGGTTGTTGCATCGTTTGTTTACTAACAGGAGAAAGCAAGCTGGTGTTTATACGTCATACACATATGGCCCTATTGGTAAGCAAATTAAGGTATGCCTTGTTTTCCCCCTAGAAGTTATCATAATGTAGTCTTTAAGCCAATAGACAGTGGTATTTGCATTGCAACCGTAATAAAATTCTAGTTCTCCTCTCCATCAATGATTATTTACCTTAACAGGAGTTGTCAACTTACCCCCTGCTTTCTTTGGCCACTTGGAAGCATTCCATTTTTATTTCTTTATGTGACCTTCTTTCTCAAGTTTTTCTTTTGCTTATGAAATTGAGCTGGAGTTATGAAAGATGCTGTAAATCTAGTAATCGACAGCCTATGTGAATTCCTTTGACTTGTAAATCTCCTTATCATGCTCACAAGAGATGTATAATTGTATACATATATGGACCATGGTCCTTATCATGATCATGCACTTTAACCTTTGGAAGTTTTCTAATATGCTTCAACATTAAGTCCAAACAATTTGCCACATGAATTTTAATAAAGACGTGGTCTTTGAGCCTATAGTGATTTTCGTAGAAATGTATTAAAATAGGACATTAATTAATCAAATAATGAAATTTATTGTAAAAAGTAAGAATTATATATCCTACCTGCCTTAACAAGATTAGATGCATGTCTTTAACGTCACCATTTGAATTAACTTTAGCATTTGAACTTCGTCAACCATGTCATTAAGGTTTGGAACAAAAAAGGTTCCCTACTTTTCTTATGCTCCTCCATTTTCTTATGTGTGTCTTTTACTAAATGAATTTTTTAAATAACTAAATGAAAGGTATACCTTTCATGAAGATCTAACTTTTAGGTCACTTCATCAACTTTTTTAACAACCTGGAAGGGACTGTCATTTAATAACTTAAAATCAGGGACTGTTGCCCTGCCTTATTGCTAATTTTCTTCAATTTTGGGCATAAGTTTCAGTGCTACTTTTTCCTTAATGTTGAACTCAAAGTGCACTTGCCTTGATGGTGTGGCGCCTCCTCTAATTGTCTCACGTTTCTTCCTTAGTTGCATATGACTCATCGCAAAGTGACGTGTGGTAGCCAACATCCTTACCTTGGCTGATATAACAATCACTATGATTTCCTAAGGCAGATCAAGACCAAAATACTTCAAGAAAACTTTGCTACGAATGCTACCTCTGCTGCTGAACACGTATCATAGGCCCTGAAATAAATATATCATACGTTGAAATTCAATCAATCACCATCACTACTAAACACTGCCCATTCATATTAGAAAATCCAGGAATAAAATCTGTTAAGTGACACCCATGGCTTCTCTGAAACAGATTACAGCTGGAGTAGACCAACCTCTTTCAGATGCTCATCTTTATTTAACCGATACCCATGACAAGATTTCACCTATGCATCCATTTTCACCTACCCCCTGGAATTTCGGCATGCCCTTTCCTGACCAGTATGCCATTGGCACTTCTATTGTCACATCCTTGTTCATCTCAACGTCATCCTCAAAATAGTTAGTGAGAGACATCCATTTCCTTCCCACCTGCTCACCTGGGTAGTATACTAATATGTAACAGAGGCTAAATTTCTAAATCTGTATAAGGGTTGCTAATTTGCTATCTACTATTTTCAAATTTCTCATGATTTGGTGCAATTTACTTTGGCTTTGTTTCTTTTCAATCCTGTCCACTATTATGCAGTTTTCACTTTTATATTTTTCAGGTCATTCTTCTTGACACTAGATACTTTAGAGATCCTATATCAAGTGGTGGAAGTGTTTTGGGAAGCTCACAATGGGAATGGTTGGAGAAACAACTTCATGGTCCACCAACAGCCATTACTATTATTGGCTCTTCTGTACAGGTATTGTAGAAATTTATAGACCTCTGTTAGTTTTTTTTTTCAGTTTTTTTTTTTTTTTTTTTTTTTTTTTTTTTTTTTTTTTTTTTTTTTTAAGAAAGATAGACGGTGTATTAATTAATGGACAAAGCGTCCGAGAGTACATAAGAAGACACTTCCGACGGACAATGGTTCATCCATAATTGTTCTACACCAAAGGGCCTAAGCCTAGCTATGTGATGAGCAACTAAATTGCCATCCCTCAACATATGAGAGTATGAGACCAAGCTATAAAATCAAAAAAACACTCATGGACAGAATATCCTCAAGCACGGAGTCTAAATCAGAGAAATAAACAGCAGCCTTTGATAAGCGGGTAACAAGTCCTAGGCAGTCAGTTTCCAGAATAACATTCTTGCAGCCAATCCTCTTCGTATGTTGGTACTTTATAAAGGGACTAAATGTTTGCAAATTATGAACGAGCATACCTATATCATATGATTTCTGATCTAATTAAGGTTTTTAATGGCATATGAGGAATCTCCATGTGCTTATGTAGTCTGTAACACCTTTATCGAGTTATGCAAAAGTGTGTATGCTCTACATTACAACTACTAAGTACAAATCCCACTAGGGCTAGCCGGCTAGGAGCCTAGGAGGGTCTGAGAAGGTGAAGATGTACAGAGCCTTGGCAATGAGTACTGTTACTGCCTTACTGGTGAAAAGGTTAAATCTGTCAGAGCCGCGCAAAGCAGACTAACTACCAAGTACCAATTGCCTTTTATTTGTGTGTGTGTGTGTTGGGGGGGGGGGGGGGGGAGGGGGGAAGTGTTAAATAAATTCTATATCTAGTATTTTATAAACACAAACCAGTAGTGCCACATGTCCCCGTTCCCTCTAACCTTTCAATTAATATCTTTTTAATTATTGATTAGTAAAAATCATAGCTGGTCCCTGTATATCCCCTAAATTTATACTTTTACGAGTACGTTTTTATGTGACTTAAATTCCTCTTGAATCTTAAATATAGTTATGTTCCTCCCGCATATGTTTCAAATTTTCCATAAGAAATGCAAACAGTTAAAACCTTTTTTTCAATTATTTTAATTGTATTAAAAGGCTAGTTAGTAACTATATGTCTAAGGAAGCTAACAGTCATGCTTGTAAGTCACATAGTAGTATTAATGCCAGTGTATAAAATAAAGTGTGCCGAGGCATTGAGGTGCTAGGCGAATGGGATACAATGGTTTTTTGAAATTTGCAAACCGTATTCAAAGAGGTGCACTTGAGGCCGTGAGACGCACACAACTTAAAATATTTCTTAAAAATATTCTGATATTTATTGAGGGTGCCATAGTGTTCCCTCATTGCCATAGTGTTCCCTTGGGCTTTAAATAAAGAAGTCACTCACTAAAAGAACTTAGACTAGGGTGCCTAACTTTACCATTCAAAGAGTCAAAGGAGTTACAAAAACAAAAACTTAGGATGGGGATGGGGAAGGGGAAAAGGAGATATGCAACTTCTGTACAAACCTAGACTAGTGATAGATGCTAGCCTTTAGGATGATCTCTCAGTAATGCAACGTGTGTTAATTGAATTATAATTGTACTTTTTATATATAATATTTATTTGTATATTTATATTTTTTAAGTTTGAAATTTGACTTCTTTATGGTGTCTGTGATACTGGGTAATATGGATATTGATATATTTAGTGTTAATTTGATTCTGATTTTCCATTTAGGTCTTATCAAATCATTCAGCTGTTACAAGTCCTTTCTTTTCTGTCGAGGGTTGGGGACGTTTTCCTCAAGAGAGGAAACGGCTCTTTCAGTTGATAAATGATAGTAAGGTGAGATTTTCCTTATCTATCCAAATGATCAAATAATGAACTAATGATTTAGTGCAAAGTAATGTTCTTGTTACTATTACTAGAAATTTATTGGCATTTTTCCAGCAATCAGTTGGAAATGAGTTTAAATTGCTAATGTGCTTCTTGTTTCCATAACCTGTGTGCCTGTCCCTTTTTCTGTTGTAAAGAGGGATGGTGTTTTATTCATCAGTGGAGATGTCCATTTTGCGGAAATTACACGATATGACTGTGCTACTGGATATCCATTGTATGACATTACTTCTAGTGGGCTGACACAATCTATTGAGGGGGTAGTCCCACCATCACTGCGTTTCTTAGTGAGACTGATGGCGTGGTGCTTACCAACTACTGGAAGAGTTATGGAGCAAAATTGCAGATACAAATCATGTGTTTATGGTAAACCTTTCTCGCCTTTATTAATGCATCAGCTTGTAAATTCATAATATTAGGCTTCCTAGGTGGATGATGGACAATTAACTCATCAGAATGTTTACAGGGCAACCTAATTTCGGTGTCATTGAGATACAATGGAGATCTGATCCAGTGATTATAAAAGTTGAAGTTAGAGATATTAATGGGTCACCGGTAATTAGTAAGAAGATCCCGTTATCTGATATTCAAGATGGAAACATAGAACTAGCTGCCTCTGACAATAAAGCCTCGAGGAAGAAATATTGCTCTCTTGAAGTTGATCTGCCATGGATTGTCCGATACCGCTTGGCCATTTTTGTATTCAGTGCTTTATCTGGTACGTTGGCATTTTTTTTAAGTCACTGAAATTTCAATTATGGGATGGTCTTGCCTTTCACATTTTCTTTTTTTGTTTTTCTTCTTTTTTTTTTCCTTAATTTGTTCTGCTATGGAGTAAGATTTTAAAAATCCCCACTGTGAAGGTTTAGAGCACTTCAGCTTCAGCTAAACTAAATTTTAATATATTTGTAATTCACTGGCAACTCTCCAGTTTAAGGTGGAACACACTGGATATCAGGTTTAGATGTGCTTAATTGTTTAACTGCAAGGTCACAAAGACTGTCACTTTGGAATTGATCCGTTTAAAGGTATATTGCTCAGGGTGATGACTCATGATTCTCTCCTTCATGCTGAGTTGAAGCATTTATCTTTTCTTTTTTTTTTTTTTTTTTTTTTTTTTAAACTGTGTGATTTTGTTTTTCCCTTATTTGGTGTTTTTTGGGATGGGGATGGGGAGATACAGAGCATGCTTAATCAAAATTGCGTAATGAGATCCCAAATGTCTGTTGGGGTGACAAAGGTAAAGATGTGTGTATGTTTGGGGGGGGGGGGGGGGGGGGGGGTGAGGGTTGTTTATTCTGATTTATGTTGCTCAATTCAAAATTATATATTGGTTTTATTCTCAGCTGCTCAAGTTTTCCCTTCAATGCTGCAGTTTGCCTTCTTGCAATTTTTGGACTGGCTTTTTCAGCAATAATTCTCAGCAGCAGATGGCTTCGTAAATGCAAGCATGATTGACCATGTTTCAGCTGGTGACACATTGATGGATATTATTTACATGCAATGTATGGGTTACCTGGATGATTTAGCAATCATTTCTGGAATTCTGTCTGCTCTGCTCTTTCTACTCACTTCTCAGGTTTGTTGCTAGGTCAAATGTCTCAATTATTACCCTGGGAGCCTGGAGGTGGACAGGTTCCAATTAATGGGGTGTAAAGTGGTTTTTAATTTTCAATGGCGGGTAGTCAGCTAGTCGCTTTTATCTGTATTTATTTCGGTATCATTTTATGGAGTGAGGCTTCTGTCTACTCCACTGAGATAAAGGATCCCCTCGTTCAAGTTGTATCCGGCTGGTCTGCTAGGGGATGGAGCAGTTAGCAAATGCATATTGCTTATGAAATTCTTCAATGTACAATGAATATCCTTGACTCCATGTTTAACATGATGAGCAGTTTGATATGATGTGGATTTAACAGTCTGACTCTCAAGTTAATTTTGCTACAAAATTTTCTGTAGCAGATGCGCAGTATGATAAGCCTAGATAAGGCATAGCATTCTAGTACTATACTCTTTATAGTCTTAAGTACATATTGTACGAAAAATGGTTGTTTATTACAACCCTCCTGTAATCTCATATTGTACGAAAAATGGTTGTTTAATACAACCCTCCTGTAATCTTTGATGATGTAATCTAACCTTAATAATTATCTATGGAGGCTGCATAGTCGTCAGCTGTGATGGTGCCAATTATGTTCTTTGTATGCATCAATAATATTTAGGCAGGACTAAAAGTTCTGGTGAACTCTTAATTTCACTCTCTTTTTTGTATACCCCCAGAGAAGGTGAAATGAGGAAGTGGGCCAACGATATAATACGAAATTCGAGCTATGAACTCTACCGGAGTATGTAATTAGGGGGAGAGTAATTGACTAGTTTGCTATATAATTCCTACATTGCTGTCCAAATAACGTTTTTTTTTTTAAAAAAAAAAATTGTGTTAGCAAGTTGTCCAGAGATTTCAATTGCAATTGACATGATTTTGGAACCCCATGTTGTGCACATTATGATCATTTTGACATTAGTTAATAGGAGACTATTATACTTTTTGGGGAGTTTTTTTTCAAGAGATCTAGAGAACCACATAGCAAAATAATACTCCTTACTTCCTTAGTTTTAGGCTTTTAGCTTATGATTTTTTTTTTTTTTTTTTTTATAAATATAAAAATAATTTGAGAGGTTTAGTACAGTAGAACAAAAAATAAAAATGAGCCGTTGATGCATCACTATTCACTAGACCTGGAAAATGGGTCATTCCGGGTCAGGTCAAATTCGGGTCAGGAAATATTCGGGGCGGGTTTGGGTCGGGTCGGGTCATTTCGGGTTTCGGGTCAAGTTCGGGTCAATAAATTATCGGATCGGGTCGGGTTTCATGTCAATACTTCGGGTCAACTTTGGGTCGGGTCGAGTTCGGGTCGGGTCAGTTTTTGAGTCCATATATTGGGTCAAGTTCGGGTCGGGTCATTTCGGGTCGATAATTTGAGTCAAGCAATTAAGCTGAAATTATTAGATTTGTAATTTTTATACGGATTAATTATTAGTTTTGTTTTTTTTAATAGGAAATATAGTTGTTTGTGCTAATATCATTGTTATTGTTGTCATAATAATTATTATAATAATAATTATTATTATTATAATAATAAGAATAATAATAATAATAATTATTATTATTATTATTATTATTATTATTATTAATTTATTATATATCAAAAATAGAAAAAATCATACAACCTACAAACAATTAGTGGGTCGATAATTTGATTCGGTTATCAGGTCGATTATGGTCGGGTCATTTCGGGTATCGGGTCAAATTCGGGTTGGGTCACTTTAGGTCGGGTCATTTCGGGTATCGGGTCAACTTTGGGTCAGGTCATTTCGGGTCGGGTTATTTCGGGTAACGTGTCAATTTCGGGTCGGGTCAATTTGGGTATCGGGTCAACATTGGGTCGGGTATGATCGGGTCGGGTCAACTTCGGGTCAGGGTCGGGTCGACTCCACATCGGGTCGGGTTAATTCGGGTTTCGGGTCAATTTCGAGTCATTATTTTTGGGTCAATTTCGGGTCATGGGTCGGGTCAGGGTCAGGATTGCCAGGTCTACTATTCACTAGGACAAAATTTAGTTTTTTTATCTTTGCCTTGTACAAAAATAAAATAAAAAACAGTGTACCTTTTGCTTTATTGCATCTTTTACCTAAATTAATAGTCATAATAATGTCACCTGAGTATAAATGACGGTTTGATAAGATGTTTGGAAAATCAATAAGATAAATGGGAAAATGAAATGACAGTAAAGCTTTTTTTTTTTTTTATATTTATTCCATAAAGGCAGTAAAGGTATAGGGGATTATATTAATGCTGTAAAAATAAATAAATAAATGGGAAAACTATGTAATTATTAATCCTTTTATAGGGGGATTGATAATACGGAGTAATAATAATTAGAGTGTTGTAAATTTAAGTGGTTGCATTGATTCTTGAAATACGATCCCCTGAAGTAGAAAAACTATAATTTTAATTAGAGTGTTGTAAATTTAAGTGGTTGTAAATAAATACTCCGTAATCAACAACTGTGTAAGAATATAATTTTAGTACTCATAACAAATATCAACCAACATAAGGAACACATAATTAGGGCTTGTTCTCATATGGTTATTTTCATTTCACTTCAGCTTCTAATTTCCTTCTCTTATAAAATATTCATTTTAGTGCAATTTAGCTGATTTCAGTATATTAGAACAGACCCTTAGTTATATACTTTAAATATGGCTTAAGACTAAATTATTGTTAGAAAATAATATTGTATGGTTAGGTAGGTGAACCATGCATGTAATTTATATTTTTAGACAATAGTATGGTTCTTACAAGATTTTGAACCCGGCCACAACCTCAAGTTTAAACTTCAATCTCTTGCCATTAAGCTATCACTCATATTACATGTCATTCAATAAATATTAAATATTAGTAAAGATTTTTATCATGAAAATAATGCTACGCAGTTTTTTTAGGGTATCGCCCGTGCCTAACACTAGTATAGTAATTCTATCACGGACTCGGTGCAAACCCCTTTATAAACAATTGACATCCCTCTTTCTTCATCACCTCTGATTAATTAATTATTAGCCTCATTCACCTTCAACCCTTCACTAATCCTTTGCTCATTAATTAATGTCAAGCACTCAAGCAGTCAAGCCCCATCATGACATGCATTTTAATTTGCTCATTAACGTGCATTTTACATTTACAATGAGAGTGGCATAGTGCAATTCATTTAATGGATTATTGCTATTATCTCCAAAAACATTAGTTTAAATGAAATCAGACCATATATGATCAATATTGGATCAAATGAAAGGTTATATTAGGTGGTGGTGTTATATTAATTATAAATATAAATAAACGGTCATAGTAATATTAGATGGTTGTTCAAAAATTGAGCACTGGATCAATTCCGTATGAAACATTAGATATCAATTTAAAATTTTAGAAAAATACAGTTTAATAATCCCAACTTTACTCAATTTACTTTGAATAATCCCAACTTTTGATTATTCTGTACTAATCCCAACTTTTACCTCTATTTTTTTTTCTATCAATCCCAAACCGGTCAACAAAAGTCAATCACCTATTATTGTAGGTAATTCGCCACGTGTCAAGTTGTAAATGGTCCATTTTTTTTAAATCAGTAAAAAAAAAAGAAAACAAAACCAGCCACCACCAGCCCACAACCACTGGCGGTGGCCATCCCCTTCCCCAGCCCAACCAAACCACCACGTCCGATCCCAAACCTCAGCCTCCACAACCTCCCCTGAAACCGCCCCACCCCCGCAAAACCGGCCTTCCTCCCACCGACCCCCTACCCCGTAAAACAGCTATAGCCAAAACCCATAGCCCCAAAACCACCACCCATAACCCTGAAACCACCACCCATAACCCCGAAACCACCCATAACCAAAGCCCCGTCCCTAAAATTGTCTTCCTCCTCTGTCATCGCCCCTAAAACCACCTGAAACTCCATCCCCTACCCACACCGAACCACCCCCTCCCCAATCCTTGTTGATTTCGACCCCTTTCCCTTACTTCCAGGCCGGAAATCGGCCCCCACTGAAAGGAATAGTGTCCTTCGAACAAGTGTATTATTCTGATAGCGGGTTCAGAATTATTAGAAAGCTAATATATTCAGTAAGGTCAAGTGATCGGAATGCCTGGGTGGAGGCCGCTTCCGATCAGTAATATTAATATAATTAATATTACAGCTTAATCTTGACTGAACCCTTCGGGTCACACCCAAGCAAATATATGCGAACCAACTCGACGAATTAATTCGGAAGAAATTAATTCGTCGCCCGAGTGTTAAATAATTAGACGTCGGTAATTCGAGCTTAGAGCGTCGAAACCGATCGTCGGAAGTCGAGTCTAAATAATAAAAGACGAGACGCGCAAAATAATAATAAATCAACAATATTCCTGAAAATACCCCTAGCATCGGAGTGCCCCGAGCATCCGAATGCTAGGGGCAAGACGAGCCGGCGCACCGTGCTGCAGCCACGGCCAGCCGCGGCTAGGCACAACAGCAGCCGAGCCGCACCACGGCAGCAGCCGCAGCCGCACCATGCCACAGCAGCAGTTGGTGCGGGCTGGGTACGGGCCGGGCTCGGGCCGGGCTCGGGCTTGGCTCGTGGCTTGGCTCGGGCCATAGGGCCGTGTATAAGGGGAAGGTTGGGAGCAAGTGGGTTGCCATGTGGCACAAGGTGAGGGAGAGAGTGGGGAGCAAGTTTGGTCCCCATCTCCAAGTGGTCCTCACTTACTCTCTCATGTATGCTTGACACTTGTTGATTTATTACTAGTTTGCTTAATAATTTTATTTTAGCTTTAAAATAAAATGAGAAAATCTCATTGTCCCACGTTAATGGGAGAGATTTTCATACTCCATCATTCCCTATAAATACCCAACTTTGGGCATAGGAAATGATGCTTGAGTGGGAGTTAAAAAGAGCATTCCATAATATTGGAAAAACTCTTAAACTCATATAACACTCGGGTTTTGTTCGGACCTCGCTAACCCCCAGGTAGTAGACCTTAAAGTTGTGTTCGCCCTTTTGTGGGTGGATACCGTTGGAGGCGCGGCGCTTGACGTGCTCGTAGCTTTCAAGTAAGAGCCCCGGTTTTTGGGGGAAGCTCGCTTCGAGGGTAAGATTCGTTATCTTTTCTTAGTGATTATTTACTTATGCTTTATGATTTTAATTATTGCGAGTGGTTCCTTGGGTCGGGGTTTGTTTCCGCGGTGAGTCGGACTCACCAAATCCCAACAGCGGTATCGGAGCCCCGCTCGTTTATTTTTATAATCATGTTTTTCAAGGTTTATTTTGGCTTAATTTTCTGGTTTAAGTTGCTAATTAGATTAGTAGCTCGGTTTTATTTATTTTAATCCCGTTTTTAATGTCGATTTTGGCCCAGAACCCAGATTTTCGCCCAAGACTAGTGAATTTTGGGTGGAAAACGTGTTCTGGAAAGGTTTTTTTCCCCAGAGGGGCCTGTGATTTTAGCCAAATTCTGACCAGAAATGCCTTTTTTCGAGGGGTTTTTCGTTTTTGACGAAAATTTTTAAGTCTTTTCTAACCTTGAAATTAATGGCATAAATTGTTGATTATATGGTTGATTATTTGCATTATTTTCTGCAATTTTATGTCCCCTTAAAGC